CTGCTTATTACACCAGTAACTCCAAGTTTCTACAAGCGGTACGTAGACGATATTTTCACAATTTTACCATCAGACAAAGTAACTGCATTTTTAGAACATCTTAATTCCATAAACTCTAAAATTCAATTTACTATGGAGTTAGAGCCAAATAATTCATTAGCTTCCCTAGATGTGTTAGTCATTAGAAATCCTGATAATACCATAGGTCACACTGTGTATCGAAAAAATACCCATACAAACCGATATTTAAACGGTGAATCCCCACCATCACCCTTCACAGTTAGCTACCGTGGGCAAATCTTTGTTACAGAGAGCACGAGGGATCTGTGACAGCAAACACCTGGCCGCCGAGCTTCAGCACGTCAAGCAGGTTCTACACGACAACAAGCTTCGGGTTCCGCGCCTACATCACAGTGACTGAGTGAAGCCGGCCACAGTCGAGCGTGTGCCTGCTGTACTACCGTATGTCAGAGGTGTCACAGACAAGATTGGCTACATCTTGAAGCGAGCTTCTATTAGAACATTCTTCAAGCCGCCGAAGAATATTAGTCAGTTCTTACCATCCGTCAAGTGCAATATTCCTCTACAAGATGCAGGAGTATACAAGCTTGATTGTGAGTGTGGTCTCTCATATATAGGGCAAACAAAACGATCAATAAAAACCCGCGTAAAAGAACACATAGCTGACGTGAAGCACCAACGTTCCGGGAAGTCTGCAGTTTGTGATCATATCCTAGACGGCCCCCGCTATTACATTAGATTTGATAAACCACAAGTCCTCGCGAAAGAACATCGATTCCTGCTAAGGATGATACGTGAGGCTATTTAAATTAAAAAACAGCCTAATTTTAATAGAGAGGTAGGCTGGGTACTACCTCATGCTTGAGATCCTGTAATAAATAAAATTAAAACTAAACCCAAGCATACCACTGCAAGACTTCAAGACACAATTAGTTCATTCTGCGTAGATCGGACCAAAATTATTAATTAAAAAAGCTGAAGGTACTCCGCTTTAACTCTGACATCGGGACGTCAATCACCTCAGTCCCCCGTGACCACGGTTGCTGGAAAGCAACCGAAATGTCGGGAATATAATATAAGTTAATTAAATGCGATAAAATCCGTAAAAATAGTTTTATTCAATACTAAAGATATAAATAAGTAAAAATTAATAATTAATTGTATGAAATTGTACACATACATACTTGTCGGTTAAGGTTAATCTAAATTTGTCCCATCTTCAATGTATCGCCAATTTCGCCTAAAAACTATCGTTTAGGACAACCCTTGCCGACTCTGCCATTCACTTCTGGTTTGGTCACAACATTTTCTTGCAAACCACACTTTTCTCTTATCACACAATTTCTTATCCTGTTATTCAGAGTCACCCCCAACGTTAGGGAGTACGTTGGGGGTGACTCTGAATGACTATAATCTTTCCATCTATCTCCTTATCTTTTATACTAATTTATTTACATTAACAACGGATTATCGGCTTCAGCATACTTTTTATGAAAAAAAAAATACATTTTCGTTTTCATGAATTAGTATATTATTTAAATATAACATGACGCGAGTATAATAGAACACCGATTTGTAAAAGCCAATTTTAGCCAAAATTGCTTTTACAACATTTGATACTCGAAGAGTCGTGTTCAAGGCAGATGATGATAAATGCACGCTCTGGTAGCCAGTCCGCCCGCCAAGTATCGCAAATTTGATATAAGTACCCTCTTAACTTTAGAGTTATTATCTTTAACTATATGCCGTAATTTAATAAATGCCTTCGTAAGAACACCCGACCGGACCCGACTTTATGACAAGAGTACCAGCTTACGTGGACCCCTGTGGTTACGTAATAATTTCAAATAGATGTTCAATATTTTTTATAAACTTTACAGCAACATATACTTTTGTGAATTGGTGTACAGCAACATATTGTTTTGTGAATTGTGATATGCTTTTTTGTTTTGTACTACTCAGAGTGGAAGACGCTGATTGTCCAGTCATTTTCGTATAAAAAGGGGGTCAACCTCGGTATGAGGGATAATAAGCTGATTTTTCGTATATTATACCTTGATTTTGGCGTTCTAAAAGTTGTCTCAAATTGTCACAATTGTATTATTAATCAGTTATATTTAATAACATTTTACATATTTTTGATATATTTATTTAATAATATTTACCTACTTTGTGTAATTAAAAACTCATTAAATAAATACTTATTGTGTATCCCAAAGGTAGATTTAAGTAGAAAACTATTTAAAAAATTATATATTTCATTTTTAAAATGTGTAAGTTTTTAAATACTTATTTTCTATAATGATTAAACGAACTGGAAAGACGGGCCCCTGTAATAAAACCTTTTTATAGGTATGACGTTAATACCTGAAATGAAAATTCAGACCCCTATATAATACGACCTTCTTCATATAGTTAGTTCATGTACTTGAACTGTTTTTTTCGGGTGACCAACGAACTTTTATTAACGATGACGATGAAGAAGAAGAAAATTAATACTTTTATTCTTTAAATCATTAAAGACTAGCTGTCCCCACGGTTGAGCGCACGAAAAAATGTTTGAAATAAAATTTGTCGCAAATTTTAGGCTCTACAATTTTTTTAATAGATGTTAACATCATTGGAGCAATATAAGCCGAGATTACCGCGAAAAACTGTTTTTTTTTTTCACATTTGACCTTGAATAACTTACGACTCAGACACGAAATTTTATGAGACTTTTGGGACAACTTTTAGAACGCTAAAATCAAGGTATGTACGAAAATTCAGCTTATTATATTTCATTCCGAGGTTGATCTCTCATTTGAATGGACTATGACGTCTGAACACATTTTATACTAGTATGGCCGTTAACGCTAACTTCCTTGAAATGTAGGTTTGTAATTTAATATACTATAATTTGTCAACCTGAGTGTCTAATAATTTATTATAATATAAAATCTAAAAGTATTTTAAAGAACATACAAAAATCTCTGAACAATAAAGAAATTCTACGTGTTTCTTAAAAAAAAAGAGTGACAAAACATCACACAGCTAAGGCCTGCGATTGTAAATCCAAATGACAAAAAATACGATTGATTCAAACCACAAAACAGAAACGGCCCCCAGCAGTGGACTTTTGAGGGCACATGAAAAGTAGAAATAACATTAAAAAAAAACATAGAGTATATGTGACAGTGGGTCTTTGCATTATATGTCAGTGACATCGTTATATTATATGTTAAATCATTATACGAGTCATTAATTCAGATTTAGTTATCTCAAAATGTATGCGATGAAATAAAAATTACATAAAAATATTTTAACAGCGAGAAACATCAAAAGCTAACTTTGATCGTACTTTCTACAAAGTTGTTAAGACATATTAGAACTTTTAATATAACCCTTACCCTAAATCTTTTGTTTGAAATAATTATTTTTTGTTTGTCTATTAGATTTTTATTCAATGTTGCGCTGATTGATACTTCTGGCATTGTAGACAAACTTGATTCATAAAGTCTACTCGTATAGATTTGACATCGATGGCATTCATATATAAAATTGAAATATCTATGTGAAATCATTTAAAAAAATATTATTATATTTTCACCGCGTTTTGTTCATTCGACAACGTTTTCACTGTGGATATCATACTATTAGTAAAGTGCCAATCTCGTTCGTTAATTTGCAGCGTGTAAAGAGGGATTGAAATGTTCGGATGCCAGTTATTGATGCGGTACTTTACGTTAATTTCGCTATCACTCCCGCTACGTTTGATAGACCGTTAAAGCTAATTACTGATTCACAATTAAAAAAAGTTAAGCGAGAGATTAAACTTTGGTTATCATCACTTTACACAACACACATCACAACATATTTTCATAGTTGAGTATTCAGTGGTTTAAATAGCAACCCAGATCAAATACGGTAGCAATATATGTATTTTATATTGTGAACTATTATATATTATATTATGAACTATTATATGCTTCAGTAATATAATTTATTCAAAACGTTATGTTTTTATATATAGAATTACCAGCACTTCAAGTATAGCCACAAACATAAATGCACTCACACACGCACCTAGAACTACGTGGGCTAAGAAGGTGCAAGAACAAAAATAATGATACCAATATTATATAGAAGAATGTATACATATATATTACGCCAAGAATATTTCAACAGTGAATAAAGTTGTTGATAGATGATTAATGGCTCCCATATTTTAGGCTGTGTACAGATTGCAAAACAAAGTAATAAATAAGTGCAAAGCTTACATTGTGTTAAATTTGCCGAGCCGTCAAGCGTCGTCATAAGTCTTTGTTAGTTAAAATATCTTAGCGTTCAATAGCTATATATAAACAACGTTCATAAGTATCCAAAGTATTTCTTTATGTTGTTATTTTTAATTTATTTCTGGAAACAGGCATGAAGACTACAAGAATGTTCAAAAAATAGAATGGAATAGTTTTTTAGTCAATATAGATTACTTTAACCATAAATGAAACCATAATATAATATATATTGCATCCTATATACAGTTTTTGAAATAGTTGCCCATACTCATCATGCCGGCCAAGTGAATCTTTTCAACCCAGATTAGAATTTGGAGAAAAATTTGCAAAAATATAATAGAAAACATAACATCCCTTTTATATTACGAAAACTCATCCTTATTGGCCCGTAACAGTCATGGCTTCCGATATATGGTAGTATAACTATCTCGTTTATGCCAGACATAAAAACCCAGACCGGCGACGGGAAGTAGCAACGGAATACATCCATGTTCATTTTTACGGGCTTGTGATAAAAAGAAAAAGCAGAGAAATGCTAGATAGTTACACTTACATATAGCGATTGTCTTGTGAGGCGATTTTAAGGAATACCCTAAGTCAAGAGGCGAATCGATTTCCGCAGCCAGTACGTGGCGGTATTTTAATTAGCCGTAGACAAATATAGAAGCTATTTATTTTTTCGATATAGAAGCTATTAGTTACCATCGTATAGAACGCCGATGCGTAGCAACCGCGACGAAGGCTCCTCCAGCAACAACAGGATTGTATAATGGGCATCTTGGCTTTTGATTCTGTAAACAAATTAATGGCGTTTAATATGAATGAAAACCTTTTTAAATAACAACGATTGACGACGTAGAAAAGTAAACCTACATAATTTTGGAAGAAATGAATTATTTCAGTCGTGATCTTTCTTAGGCTACACGAGCACACAATCCACTTGATGTTAAGTGAATGTTGTGACCCATAAACACATATTCTCGATTAATAATTGAAATGCAAATGCGTTGTTACCCCAGAGAACGAAAACAAAATACCCCGGTGCCAATAAATACAGCCTCCGGTTCTCTCCACAAACTATACGGAACACAGTCTTCTGTTATCATTTATTACGATTAGGCATAAATCAAATAGTATTAATTATGATAGTAGGAAGAGATAAAATTATAGACAAAAGAACTTGCCAAACTTATTCAATTTTCATAAAACTCATATTTCATGATACAAGAATAGAATCAGTAAGAGGAAAATCTCTTTCCTATAACTTTTCTTCGAAGAAGGAAGTTATACAGTTATAAGAAAACATAAATTGCGGTTAGTTACATGAAAAAATAAGTATTACTTTCTATAAAGTTTTTTTAACGAATCTTAACTTCTGAAAAACCTTCTGATTTTTTATTAAAAATTAATATTTAGACTTTTAAATTTCAATCATTTTGCAAATAAAAAGGATTTCCTTCCCTTAGAAGAAGCTTTACTATAGAACTTACTTGATCTGATCTAACTTCTAAACATATATTATAATTAAATATATATATATATATATATATATATATATATATATTTAAACATATATTATAATTGAATATATATATATATATATATATATATATATATATATATATATATATATACATTTATGTCAGTTTTGGAAATTGTCATAACTGTGCACATATTAGTAGTAAGTAGTAATAGAATAATAATACCACTATAAATATTTATCACAACAAAAACCTATTCAAGCAATAGGAGCAACAAAATATACACTCGTGTCGTAGTTTATATATTCTTTGCTCGTGTGCAATAAAAATGAAAATGATATTTTGAAGTTTATATATTTATTCCAATGCGATGTCATTGATTATTTAGTGATTCCCAAAAGTGTCAACACATAAATGACTGTTAACTATATTATTTACTATTTTATTAACATCTTCTTTATTCCTCTTATTAAGAACGTGAAAGTCCGTTATTATATATGATTTTTCGATTTTTCATGGAGTCATTGATGCAAGTAGCTTAAAAACTGCGTTGTATGTCAACAAATCTCAAACCACTTACCATCAGGTGAACTGTGTGCACTTTTGTCACTCTAATCCTACAAAATAAAATTATCTATATGAGGGAGAATCCAATAGCGGACTTATGGTGGTGTGGTGTGGCTATAATGATGAAGATCTATTTATCAAGGGGCTTTGTTTTAAGATACCTTGCTGCAATTGTAATAAGCAAGAAAGTTTCTTTTTTCCAACTGGTTACAATCTGAGTGTTTTCAAGGTACGAGTGAATAGGCTAATGTTACGCTAGAATAGTGCAATTTACAATCTAAGGCTTTATCGCCACATCATCATTACATATCACTACAAGTCCAATGCTGAAAATATGCCTCTTTAAATTCTGAGCCACCTGCATATATCGACTTCTTGTATATTCAGGTGTAGAGATTTCAATTACCAATACGTAGCAGCCACTAAAGAACCTTTCATCCTCATCGTTTGTCAGTTCTTCTAGCTACTTTTCAGTGATAATTTATAAAAAGTCTGTTTTATTGGCCTCTTTTATCACTCTTGATGTACATTTCAACAAAAAATAAAATTTGATCATATGCGTATCTTTGAAGAAAAAGTAAAAGCAGATAAAATTGACACGAGAACATCATATACCCTTCTTTTAGATAAAAGAATACACAGATCAAAGGCAAACGTAAAACACGTTACTACGATTTCGTTGTGAAAGCTTCGACGCAGGCTTAGAAGGTGATGTTACGGGCAATAAAAGCCGTAGAATTATTGAGGGTTGTATTCGGATCGCAAAAATTTGTGCTGTCCTATTTAGGACACGCCAATCCATTATATTGACGTCACGCATTATTTTTGCCACAAAGAACAAATAAACAATGATTTTTTTTTAATTTAATGGCGTAGCGTGTTAGTGAAAGAAAATTTTCGAATGTCATCCCGTGGGTGTTGTGAGAGGCAAAGGAAATACCAGAAAAAGTGTTATAGCTTCCAATTGATGGCGGTTTATATGTATATCTGAGGAGGTCGTAAAATAATATTAAAAAAACACATGCCTACGATGAGACGTCTGGTACTGCGGTCATTGATCTGCATAACTATCGTGACGATTACGAGTAATGTAAACTCTCACTGAAACGCGAGAGGCCCATGTACATTTGACTTTTAAAGACGAAAAAGCAACTTAAACAATAATTAAGTTTATTGCTTAATTTAATTACACTTGTTTTATTTATAAGAAATATGTGTGTTTAAGTTTTTATAGCTCTATTATAAGCCTTTTGCTCAAATCAAATCCATGTTTTAAGATGCTAAATATTTTAAACTAATTGGAATAAAAATAAATCGATCAAATCGACGATAGGGGGATAAAATAGGTGGTAAAAGTAATTTAAACCTAGAGCTGCGAGAATTAAAGCTATTTGGCTTCTTAATTGCTTGTTCACTTTAGACGTTTGCCTTTACAATAAGAAGGCTCGGCTTAAACTGTTCGTTAAGATAATTTACAAATATTTTAATGAATAGTGTATTAACTAACTTAACTTTTCAAATGGCACATTTTATTGGATTAAGAAGATAATTATCATACATGAACATAAACACAAATGCCTGTCACCCAGAGGGGTAGGCAGAGACTACGGACGATCTTGGCACACCCCTCTCGCCTCCTTTACATCTATATACCTATGCATACATGTTCGTCGTTTAAGGGTACTCTTAATTTGGCACATTTTTAATATATCACCAATTTGGTCGATAAACTTTCGCCTAATTTCCTTTTCTCATAAGAAATTCTTTCTAATGCTTAGATAACTAAAGAAAAAAAGACGAATTCTAATGATGCAAAACCATGTTCAAATTATTGTAAAAACACGCATTCACGCACATATATGCATCTAAAATAATTTGCAACCAATAACATGATTTTAGCAAATGTGTACAGCCAGCTGTGACGTTTTAAGGGCTAAGTTCTCTATCAGCCCGTAAAATTTCAATGAGGAAAGATTTAAATGCGTGAGTTAAGGAGTAAAGATGTTGAGTATGGATTCAGCATCATTTGAAATATACGCAGCGCTCTGTCTGTCATTATGTGTTAATAATCTGAGTTTAATATTTCATATAATTATTATTAATCGAATTCAAAAATCAATGATGTTCTATATTCAACGCGTTAGTTTTTTTGGCCGTAATGGCTTACACACAAGAAAATGTTAGGGCGGATTAACGAACTTAGTGCGAAACGTTTCACGCCGACGTTACGCCCGTTGGTCATGGTATTTTGTCATGGTCATGGTATATTACAAACAGCGAAGTAAAGCCTTAACAAAGAGGCCTATCAAGCTAGCGGGTGGGAAGATCTTTTCTTAATTTGTCTTATCCCATATCCCAGCTCTATGAGGTTTAAGTCGGGCGAGCGCGCTGGCCATCCCTTATCATTGATTTCAAAGTATCGAAGGTATGCGACAACATTATCGTGGATAAAAACAAATATATTTCCTAAACAAGGGGCAAATGGCACTATAATTAAATTATTCAAAATTAATTCGAACTACTCGATGACGTAGTATGAAATAAATGAAAATAATTAATAAATATTTTTACTATACATAGCCAAAAAGGGTCTCTGGCATGCAAGTGTGAATTTATTCTAACCGATTTCAGCCTTTCTCTCACAGTTTTTGTGCTTACTGTAACGCATCGATCTCCTTGGAGCTTCGTTCTTGCCTCAGAAGAAGTAAGGGCAGTTTTCTAATTCTCTAAATTTCTAATTCACGCTGGTAACGATGAACCGGTCATCTCTGGCCACAGTTTCCAGTTTACGTCTATTTTCTGCGAATCTCGTATATTTTCCGGTTTTCCGATACCTCTTGACAACTCCTTGTATCATAGAATTTGATAGTCGTAATGTTCAGGCAACATGTTTGTAGGTGTACTTTTGTAACTTGAGTGGCGCTTAGATTACTTGGACGTGGTAGAGCCATTCTACAGCTATATTAATAGTATAGTTGTAGCACGAATGGGTCAGCTCGACCGGGGAAGGACCACGCGCTCACAGAATACCAGCGTAAAATAGCAGCTTAATGCTGCTATGTTTCTTATGGTGAGTGTAGAGAACCGAAGACCCATTTTACTGGAAACGAGGCATTCCATCTTAGTCCTCAAGGGTGACAACGCATCTGCATTTTGATTCATAAACGAGGATACATGTAGATGTCTATGGGCCACAGTAACCACTTACCATCAGGTGGACTGTGTGCACGTTTGTCACCCTATTCTATAAAAAAAAAGATCTCGACTCGATTCTCAGTTTATTTGCAGTAATAATTCACACTTAACATTAATTAACAAGGCAGTCGAGGCAAAAATATAAACAAAAGCTAAATTAAACTCAAATGCGAAAGTAGGCAAAATTTTTGCAGTATGAAAGAACGCAATATTACGCAATATAATTATTACATGAAAACCATTGAGTTATAATGTACTACATACTAGAGTAGCTATTCCAAACAAAAAATGTGCGCTACTCTATGTATTCGCGCATGCGCGGGGGATAGTAGAGTCGCGCATGAGAAATTGATATAAGACCTTTGTTTTAAAATTATTTAAGATATTGATTGATTTAAGAGCATTGCGCCTGCGTGTTGATTTTTTGTCATCATAGATTATACGTAGGTAGAATGAGTAATATGTAATATGTAATAATTGTTTATTTAGTTTGTATTGTTAATTATGTCGAATACAATTTCTTATTTTTTATTT